CAGCAGCAGCCCAGTGCCCTTCACTCAGCCTGCCTCTGCCCTGCTCTGGGGAGCCAGCTCTAGTGGCAGGAGATGGAGAGTTCAGTGGCCTTCCAGTCCTCGGCCTCTACTGAGACTGCCAACGAGAGGACCAGTCCATGCCCATGGTGAGGGTGTTTTGTGATGTGACACATGGTGGAGGATGAGACAGTCCATTAGTTCCCATCTAGTCTGTCTCCTGGGGGCCGGAACAGGCCTGTCCATACTGGACACTTAGGCTTTGTCCAGTTCCAAGTGACCAAGCTTCAGCCTCGCCTACATGGAAACTCATCCCAACATCCAGCTGGCAAAGCCCGCGCTAGGCCGTCTGCAGTGATGCTGGACTCACCGTTCTTAGGCAGGCCCTGAATGACTCTGACAGCAGCCTGGAATTGTTTCTGGTAGTCCGTCTCCGTGGGCTCCATCCCCATCCACTCACGGGACCTGAGAGAGAAGCACAACCCCACCATGTTAGCTGGGGGGGCCTGTCAGAGGCACTCCCAGCTGTGGCAGAGCCACTGGGCCGGATAGGGGCCTTCCCCAGGGCTCTGGGGCTCGGGCACGTGGGCCAGGACTTCATACTGGTCTGTGAGTTTGCCCTGGGGTCACAGCCCTGCCAGGCAGGAACCTCTCGATTCACCAATGCCCCGCCTGCCCTCAGCCCCATCCAGCAGGGACCCTCCGGGGCGACAGGGCAGCTGGGTCTCCTCCGCCCGCAGGAGCTGCTCTGTACCGGGCATACCAGGCTTGGGAGGCGCTGGCCCGGAGCAGGAGTTGCCGGGTGGATCCACAGCCCTGTCCTGAGTGCCCAGCTCCTACCCCGAGCGCTCCTGCACCAGACCGGACCCAGGGCCCAACCACCTCGACCCGCAGTGCCCTACTCTAGGGTGCCCTCCCTAGTGCCCCCAGCATGGACCCTGCTGCCCCCTGCCTGGATCCCCCCATGGCCCCCAGCCCAGATTCCCCTCAGCCTAGCCCAGCCCTGGACCTCCTTAGCTCAGACCCCAGATCTCCCCCAGCCCAGCACCCCCTTAGCTCAGACCCCGGATCCCCCCCAGCCCAGCCCAGCCCAGCACCCCCTTAGCTCGCACCCCGGATCCCCCCCAGCCCGGCTTCCCCGCCGCTCCGAACAGCTGATCCACCCCGACCCCCCTTTCCGGGCCGGGGCCGGGGATGTGCATGGGGAGCGACCGTCCCAACCAATAGCGACATGCCTTTCATTCCCTCGTCACACTTCGCCCAATTAGCATCGAGCTTTAAAAATAATGCAAATAAGCGCCTCCGCGCCGCAGCGTGCTGTTACGTCCGCCACAGGGTTAAGACAGGCCAAATCAAGCCGCCAAGCTGATGTAACAGCGCCCCCTTCAGGGGGAGGGATGACCTGCGGGCGGCTAACCTTGGGCAGTAGTGCCCCCTGCAGGAGCGTGTTAATGGGCGAAGCTGGGAAGCGAGCTCTGGGCTGATTTATTACATGGGGTGGAGAGGAGAGATTCCAGTGTGGCAGGGGCCTATGCAGAACAGTGGCCCTGTGGCTGGGTGTGTGGCGTGTGTTTGCATGGCCCCATGTTAGTGCACCGGTGTTTGGTGCCTAGGCAGCAGCGCAGGGCAGAGGTAAGGATGCGCTATACGGGCAGTGTGGACAAGGCCAAAGAAGAGACTGCAGAGTGTGGGAAGTGCTCCTGGCACTTCACAGACAAAGGACAGGTCCCTGGTACCGGAAGTTCACAATCTGGATCAGACTGAACACAGTGAAGGGCTGCGGCAGAGGGACGGAGCGAGCGGTGGGAGAACGGAGTCACAGCAGTGAGTGATCGGGGGCTGTGCTGTGGTCTGAGGCGATTACGTTCCAAGGCTGTAATTTGAGGTCCTGGCTCTTTGACAGAGTCTCAAAGGTGAAGCCCCGACTAGGGAAGGAATCTTGGGCTCATTGGTCCAGAGAAAGTGTGTGTGGGAGGGAGACATCTCCCCACCTGGCTGCTTTTTACTAGCATGGACTGAACCAAAGGAGTAGCGTCTCCCTGTGTGGCGTGAGTCTGGGCACTGTCTCCTGTGGGTCATAGGCAGACCGAGCAGCTGGTTTGAAATCCCTTCCTTAGGGAGATAACCCCTAACCCAAGGAGGCCTCCTGTGACCAAGGCCTTAGCTGCATCATCAGAGTGACAATCCAAGAATTCACACCTGGGCAGAACTGTCACTTCCTCTGCCTGCACCACACCATGGTTTGCATATCCACAGCACCTAGGGCTACCATATGTCTGGATTTCCCCGGACATGTCCGGCTTTTCGGTCTATAAATAGCCGTCCGGGGGGAATTTTAAAAAATCTAAAAATGCCCGGGATTTCCCCCCGGTCGGCTATTTATGGACAGAAAAGCGGCGGCCAAGCACCGCTCGGCAGCCAAAGCCCCTTCCCGGCTCCCCCATCCCCTGCAGCCTTACCACGCCGTCCGGCCCCGCAGCTGTCTTCCCCCTCCTCCCCTCCCCTGAACGCTCCGCCCGCCTGCTCCTCCCCCTCCCCTGCTTCCCACCAATCAGATCTTCCCGGGAAGTCTGAAAAAAAGCAGGGGCAGGCGGGAGGCAGCAGCAGGTAAGCTGGGGCAGGGGGGCGCGAGGAGGAGAGCTCTGGGGAGCAGGTGCTTGGGGCGGCCGCTCCGGAGAGGGGCGGCACCAGGGCCGGCTTTAGGAAGGGCGGGGCCCAATTCGAACATTTTTGGCGGGGCCCCGGCGGGGATGACTAACAAAAAAATAATGGAAAAAAAAGCCTTTCATTTCTTCCATGTATTATTTACTTTCTATAACTATATAAATAATAAAATTATATATTATGTACATTGCATCATATATGCTGTTAATCGGTTATTAATGAGCTCCGTTTCACGTGTGTGGGTCCCCGCCACTCCCTGGGGGTGTGCTAGGGTGACCAGATGTCCTGATTTTATAGGGACAGTCCTGATTTTTGGGTCTTTTTCTTATAGGATCCTATTATCCCCCACCCCCGTCCCGATTTTTCACTCAGACTGTCTGCTCACTAATTTGTTTTTTCTTAATTGAAAGACGCATCTG